AAATCTTCGTTGAGTGAGCTACTGTTACATGTTAGGCAATGTACAAGTTCTTATGGTAGCCACTATCCTGAAAATAGAACCAAGGAGACATCATTTCTTTAGGTGTTTCTTTTCTCTACACACAACTAATGTAATACAAAGCAAGGGATTTGAATGCCTTAAGAGTAATATAGAGAAAATATTGTAGAAGATCATAAGAGTGGGGAATTCACTCTAGGAAAGCTAGATAATCTTTTTTTTTTTTTAAAGACCTTACTTATTTATTAGAGAGAGAGAGAGAGAGAGAGAGAGAGAGAGAGAACAGAGGATGGGGGTGGGGTAGAACAGGGAGGAGCAAAGTGGGAGGGAAAAGGAGGGGGAAAGAACTCAAACAGATTCCAGGTGGTGCTTGGAGCTCAACACAGTGTTTGATCCCAGGACCGACATCGACACCAGAGATCATGACCTGGGCGGAAACTAAGAGTCGGAGGCCCAACTGACTGAGCCACCCAGGTACCTTAATCTTTCTTGCTTATTTCCAACTCTGTTGGGATGGAGTAAAAGCAGGTTCTCTTCAGAATTATGAATGCTTGCATTGGTGCTAAAAAGTGGTTTGATTGTCCAAGTTCCAATTTTTAGTTCCTTGGATTTGGCCTTGAGGAGAGAGGTGATTTGCTTTATTATTATTATTATTATTATTATTATTTTCTTATAGAGGGAAAAAAGCAAGACTCCCTAGGCGAAGTACAAGGCAAAAATTGTTATGTAGGGCAGGCCCCTCATCACTGTAACTATCTATAGAGTTTCCATGGGCAAAACAAGGCTTGTTTCAAAGAAGGATTTATTACAAGTTTGCCTTTTTAGGTGCTCAATAATGGCCACTGAATGGGATGTTTGCTTTAACCTGGGATCTGTCTGACATCCCTTTTACATGCAGAGATGCTGGAGTTGGTAGCTTGTCGGCTAAAGGGAAATCATAAACACTGGCTGAGTGAGTTGCAACAAGTCCATGAACTCCATTTGATATGCTGGTTATGTCTTAGAAAACTTTCTGTAAAGCAGCTGTCACTGGCCCATATGTGTGAACGATAAGTAAAATCAATATTTACTGAATATTCAGTAGGTTCCAGGCTTCATTATTCTATATGGATTATTTCATTTACGGTTAGTTGTATTATCCCTATTTTACAAAAAAAGAAAATTGAGTCTTAGAGTGATTAAGACATTTTTCCAAGGTTATGCAGTTAGGGAGTGGTGACATCAGGATTTGAGTTAGGATTGTATAAAGAAGTAGTACATAGATGAGAATGTAAATGTTATTTATAGACATTTAAGTTAATATAAACTTAAATGTGTATGTTTACACGCGTATTTGAATTTACTCTCCGAAAATTATTTTGTAATAAATGACTCATATAAAATAAAATTAAGAATATGGACAAATCAAGGCCAGGAGAAGGAGGAATGTGCTAAACTTGTGAACTTTGTTTGATCATCAAATGTAAAAACGGGAAAAATGGAGACCCTTTATTTTTAAATTTTTTTTCCTAGACCCTTTTAAATGCCGTTTTACCCAGACAACAGAGTTGTTTTTATTTTCATAACCCTATATTATGAAAGTTAAATAAACTCTATGCAAGCTATGATTTTTCTTGATCGTATTTTTAATTTTTGAGCATAATTGCCATTTAAAATTTCTTGATATTTATTCTCAAATGAGATGATAAAAATCTAAAAAGTATTTCCTATGTGGTAAAATACTACATTTTGTTTAGTTCTAAGACTCTTTTCCTTAGTGGTGAGGCCTTATCTATCATACAGGAGACTGGCATTCCATTCTATCACTTCTCCTAGGAGCAGGCAATTTTCCTTTTCCAGAATCTGGCATGCACAGGGGTCTAGCACATAGATCCCTTTCAATAAAGGATCTGCAGAAGACTATTGAATGATGGCTTATACTACCACATGATGCCTAATACAACAACAATATATAATATGCATGTAAAAAATGTGTCATTCTCCCAATATAAAGGTTCTGTGGACACACCAGTTTTCCAGTATCAGTAATGTGTTGCAGTGAGACACTTCTGTGTACTTCTCTATGCTCTCTTATATCAATCCTGGTCAGCACCCTGCCCTATCAGAGGTCACCAACCTTCAATGCAAAACCTTGGGGCATGTGCTAATAAGACTGTATCACAGGAGTGTGGGAAGAAAATATTAAAACTCTGAATTTGATTTTTACTTCATGCTTTTTTGTTTTGTTTTTGTGCATATATGCTTTGTAAAAATAAATATTATGTCCATGTAATGCTGCACTTTAAAAACACATACATAAGGGTATCTGGGTGGTATAATGGGTTAAGCCTACAGCTCTTGGTTTTGACTCAGGTCATGATCTCAGGGTCCTGGGATTCAGCCTGAAGTTGGGCTCAGTACAGAGTCTACTTGATTCCTTCTCCCTCTCCCTCTGCCATCCCCCACACCATGGCCTGCACTCTCTCTGTCAAATAATTACTTTTTAAAACCCCACAGACATAAATATACATATGTATATACCTGCTCGAACATTTTACATTTACCTACTTGAAAGAGAACAACGTGTGATTTAAACATTTGAAAACTGTATCTCTAATTCTGCTAAGCTAAGCATAATTCAAAAAAAAAAAAATCTTTGCAACCATAAAGAAATAAAGGATATTTTCCTATGGTTAGGGTTGGAGGTTAGGGGTAGGCTGGTCTTTTACATTTTTCATAACATAAATATACTAGCAAATAATTATAACACTTAAATCAGCAAATAAGTATAGAAACTCATGTGGATTCTTTTTTTTTTTTTTTCCTCTTCAGAAAAGAGCACAGTGAAATCCTGAGAAAATTTTTCTGATTTTTTTCCTCCATTTGCCTCTTATCCCTGAAGTTTGTCCTTTGGAAGGAAGGACTGTCAAGTTACTCAAAACTCATGTTGGGTGTTTAAGAGTCCTAGGTTTAAGTTCCTTCTTCACAGCTCTTCTGTATAATATCGAGGAGGTTATATAATTTGTCCCTGTCTCATTTCTCTAATGGGAAAAAAAGAGGTACCTTAGTACCTACCTCATTGCAGAGTAGTATGGATAAAGAACACTTTGTTCCATCTTTCAAATACATGCAAAGTGTCATTAATAGAACTTTTAATATTATCAGTTTAAAATGCTGTGATTTTATATACTTTTTCTTTTTTAAAAGTTTTTTTTCTTTAAAAAATAAATGAAACATCGTATTTCTAAATACCACTGTTTGTTTTCAAACTTTCAAGAGCTTAGGTTTTCTCTGTATCTACTTCTCTCTCTCTCTCTTTTTTTTTTTTTTTTAGATTTTATTTATTCATGAGACACACACACAGAGAGAGGCAGAGACAGAAGCAGGCTCCACACAGGAAGCCTGACATGGGCCTGGATCCCGGGTCTCCAGGATCACACGCCCTGGGCTGAAGGCCGCGCTAAACCTCTGAGCCACCCAGGCTGCCTGTATCTCCTTCTCTTTGCCATTCTTACACACGTGCATATACACACACTCACTGGATAACTCTAAGATGGCATAACACTCACTGGATGCCTTAAGATGGCATCAAGGAAATAAAAGGGATTTGAAATAAATTCTCTGTTTTCCTTTAAGTGTTACAGCTATGCATCAAGGCCATAAAATCATAGTGTTTATCTAATAATCTTCAAAATGTTTGTGTTTAAGAATAATTCAGGCTCTTAAATTAGAAGGAAACTTAAGAAAACATCTAGGGTCTACGATCATGTCCGGCACATAGTAGATGCTGAATAAACACTTAATGAAGGAAAACTGGGGGGTTGTGGAGGGGGGAAGTTTCTTATTTTAGTCTTAAAAGAAGAGAAAAAAAAAATCAACCCCAAAGCAACTGTGAGCATTAAAGAGGATAAGTTAGTGGCTCAAGAGTGTTCAGCTAGTTCAAGCATGGGGTCTGGACTTTATTCCTCTTAATTTCTAGCTTTGGTTTTCTGCCCCCAGCAGTCTGTTGACTTGCTTATACAGGACTGCCAAATATAATCTGCCCAAGATGCATCTTCGGAAAAAAAAAAAAAATCAGGAAGCACAGCCTTTGCGTTCACCATCTCCAAAGTCACCCAACATGTGATGTTCACATATGTCGTGAAATATGTAAAGTAAATATCATAGAGAATACGCAGACTATAAATCTTACTCATATTGACTCACAAGGTCTATCCTTAAGGGCAAGTGTCAAGAGCCCACCTTCCCTGACCTGCTGTGACCTCCCAGCACCATCTGTAAGCCCACGCAGGTGATCTGCTGTCCCCTGGGCCGCTGAAAGCAGACAGGTTATCCCAGCAAAAACGTTCAGCTTTGTTTCTGAGCCCGTTTGCGTCGACTTCCCCGAATTTGCCTGCGAACGAGGCGCGAACAACCTGAACGCCTTCCAGCCCTCATCAACTTGTCCTGCACTGTTCCGGCCTATGCCTGTGCGACTGCTGACCCATTGACAAAAGAAATCCCAGCCGCTGAGAGCCTTTCCCGGTCACTTGTCAGCCGGGTCGGGCTGTACAAAACCGTAACACAATGCACGCCTCTTTCCGTGGGGCGCCACACGGCAGCGATTTTTTTTAAAAAAAAGAAAAGAAAAGAAAAAACAGAAAAAAAAAAAAAAAAAAGAAACCAACCCTCACTCCCATATCCAGTGGAGTTGTAGTTCATCCCTATCACCCTCCCAAGTCAAAAGGACAGCAGTTTCGAGCCTGGCAACTTGGCGCCGACAGGGCTTCCCCCCGTCGCCCCACTCTGCTGGGCCTCTCTACCTGTCCTCTCCTCCTGTCCACAGGTCCCGAACATTAGAGCACAGAAAATGTGATGATCTTTGTGTGTCTCCGTGCAATGTGTGTATGTGTGCGTGTGTTTGGGTGTAACGGGCGCTGTGTTTGGCCGCGCGGGCCGTCCGTCAGGCCGCGGACCAATGGCAGGCCGCCTTATATAGGCTGAGCGGCGCCGGGCTCCCGGCTCCCCGGCTCATGGACTGTATGTGGAGCAGCTCCGGCGGAGCGGAGGCAGAGCGGCTCCGCGAGCTCCCCTGCACTTTCCCACAGCCGAGCCCCGACTGGCCGCCGAGGGCGAGCCACGCACACGCCCTCGCGCCCGGCGAGCCCGCGAGGTAGGCGCCCCGCGCCCCCGGCCCTCCCCGGCGTCGCCCCGCACTTTCTGTTTTCCCGACTCACTTGCGAGCGGCCGGCTGCAGCCCCGAGGACTCCGCGGCAGGAGCGGCGGCGGCGGCGGCGGCGGCGGCGGCCGGGAGGGTGGACTTGAGGAAGCCGGAGGGAGCCCCGCGCGCCCGCCGCCGCCGCCGCCGCCGCCGCCGCCGCCGCGCCTCGCCTCGCCGGGCGCTCTGCCCCCTCCGCCAAAACTTTGGGTCGGGAGAGGTCGCGGGCGAGGGTCGCGGCGGCCGGCGGGGGGGTGGGGGGCGGCGGCGGCGGCGGCGGCGGCGGCGGGGGGCGCGGAGGCAGTGCCCCGCGGGCGGGAGGCTGGGGGCCGGGCCGGGGAGCACTAGGCCAGCCGGTGCCAGGCTGCGTTTGCAGCCAGCACCTCTCGGCGCACGGGCAGCGCCGCCCGAGCGGGGCACGGGGGCCGGGGCGCGGGCAGGGCAGCCCGAGGAAAACAACAACAGAGCCGGCCCCCGCGCCGGCGGGAGGCTCGCGGCCGCCCGGGGAGCCCCAAACTTCATCGCGGCGAAAGTACGTGGATCCCCGCCTGGGCTCGGCTGCCGGGGGAGGTGGGGCCTGGGGCGCCGGGGCAGGGGAGGAAGGTACGCGGAGCCGCAGCCCTCGGTGGATCCGTGCAACGTTCCGTGTGCGTCGCGGACCGCGAACAGCGGCCCCGGGGGCTCGTGCATCTGGAGAGTTGGGATTCGGGGCTCCGGCCCCGCGGATCGGTGCCCTCCCGGCGCCCCCCCCCGCCCCCGCCCCCGCCGCCGCCGCCGCCGCCGCCCCTAACCGAATGCGCGGCGAGTGGAGAAAGTGCTGTTTTAGTGCCCGAGGAGCCGGGAGGAAGAATAGGGGGAGAGGGGGGAAGAGGGCGAGGGAGAAGGGGAGAGAGAGAGAGGGAGGGAAAGGCGGGGGGGGGGGGGCAGAGAGAGGGAGAGGAGGGGGAAGAGGAGGAGGGAGGCTGTGTCAGGATTTTGCTTGAATGTGGGATTATGTTGTGTCAATAAGTTTAAGGTGGAGAGAGCGAGGCTGGGGGTGGCGGTGGAGGGGAGGAGGAAGGCCTTGGCTGCCCGAAGTCAGCTTTCCGAAGGTAAGTTATGGCATTGCATGGTCGCGATGACAGAAAACTTGCAGATCCTTTACCCGGGGATGGGGTCGATGCCTCCGGAAAGAGCTCCCCAGCCCTCCCGAGCCACACTCGTGTTACACTGTTATTTGCTGCGATCCGGGTCGCTAGTAAATTACAGAAATCAGACTCGAGCTTTCTTTTTCCCTCCTCCACCTCGCCTCGCTCGCTCACCCTCAGAAATTTATTATCATTTTTTTTCTCCTTCCTTCCTTCCTTCCTTTCTTTCTTTCCTCCTCTCTCTCTCTCTTTCTTTCTTTTTCTTTCTTTTTTTTTTTTTTAAATGTCTCGGTATCGTAGGAAACTTACACGGTAACTGAGACCCACCCCGAGCCGTGTAATGTGCAAGGACCCTAAATCCCAAGAATCTGGAACACGTTTCTTGTGTGAAATAGCCGCGATCATTTCAGCTAAATGAGGAAGGTAAAACGAAACGATGCAAAAAAGCTAAGACACAACATGTACGACAGAGGGGGGGGGGAGAGGGAGAGACGGAGAGAGAAGCTATTTTTTGCTTTTCCTTTCTGTAGAAAGGAAAATAAAGCGTGCATTCCCCTTCCCTCCCGGGGTGTAGGGTCTGGGCGATATTTTAACTGTGTGAGGACGAATTAGCCCAGGTGGATCTTGCTGAAAAGTTTTCGCGAGGTGGGGTGGAGGTGGGGGCGGCTCGGAGGGGAAGGTGGGTGGAGGTTGTGGGGGATGGGGACGGAGCGAGCTCCGCCGCTGCTAATGGTCATTGGCCTGGGGCTTTGAAACCATTGCCCGTCCTGCTACTGACACGTCCAGTGCTGGTCTCCAGGCCGCCGACGCCGGGCTGCCGGCGCCGGGGGTACTTTGCCCACGCGGGGAGGGGCTCCCCTCGCCGTCCCCGGGGCGGCCCACTCGCGGCGTGGGGCCCCCACGCGCGCCCCCTCTCCCGCGCGCCGCCGCCGCCGCCGCCGCCGCTGCTCGCGCGACTTTTGCAGGCGGCGGGCGGCGGGGGCCGCAGGGGGGGGTCCCCGGCGCCCCCCGCCCCGCGCCGGCCCCACGCGCGGTCCGGGCTCGGAGTGGCGGCGCCTCCCCGGGGGGCAGCGGGGGCAGCGGCGGCGGTGGCGGCGGCGGGATCTTCGCCGGGGCCCGCGGGAGGAGGAGGAGGAGGAGGAGGAGGAGGAGGAGGAGGAGGAGGAGAGGGAGGAGGAGGAGGGGGAAGGAGGAGGAGGAGGAGGAAGAGGAGGGGAGGGAGGCGTTTGCTGCCCAGACCGCCGCGGGTGCGAGCGGGCACGGGCTCGGGGACACCCCACTCGTTGCTCCTCCGTTAGGGAAAGGTGTTCCGCAGACTTTTACGCCGGGAGTGTGGGATTTGTACTTCATTTTCCTCCCCCCCCCCTTCCCCAAAGCAAGATGGACTCTATTCCCTTTCTCTTTCTCCCTGTGCCTCTGCCTCTGTCTTGTCAGCCTTTAAGATCGACATTTTGTACTAAGATGCAAACTTGATGGTGACCAGCAACAAAGGCGGGGTGGGAGCCCTCGCTCGCCTCCCCCCTCCCCCTCGGCTTCCTAGCGCCCCCCACCCGGACCTCGGGGACCCGGTGGCCCTGCACTTGCCGCCCCGGGCTCCCCGGGCTCCCCGGGCTCCCCGGGCTCCCCGGGCTCCGGCGACTGTGTTTCCCGGCTCGGTTCCGAGCTCCAATCTCGGGATTGCGACTGGGGCCGGGCGTGCGGGCGACGGCTGTGGCCGCCCCAGGTCTGCAGGGCTGAGGGCTGCGCTACCTGCACCGGCTGCTGCCGCCCTGCACCGTGCACCGTGCACCGTGCACCGGGGAGGGGAGGGCAGGGCAGGGCAGGGAGGGGAGGCTCCGGCTGCCTGGGCTGCCTGTCGATTGCTATGATTTGGTTACTGGTCTGTTTGTCCTGGGGGCGGCGATCACTTGTGCAAGTTGATGAATGATCGCGGTGTGGGGTTTGGGTTTTGCAGAAAAGGATCAACTTTCAGCTTTGTACATACGGGGAGTAGGGAACGAGGGTGCAGGAGGCACCCTGGAATGCCAGCTGGGCTACCCTCAGCCTCTGCTCCCTGAATGCAGGCGGCTTCTTTGCACAGTTTGCGCGTGGGGGTGGGAGGCAGAGAGAGGGGAAGGGTTGGTGGGGTGCTGGACTCCTGGCTTTTGGGGACCTTCCTTCTTAGGTGTTGCAGGAGTTGGGACTCTATATTGTAAAGCTCTACCATACTGATGATGTACCTTATTTGATACTTTATAGGTCACTATCATATGACAAAGGCTTTGCCGCAGTTCATCTTCCTCCCTGTGTACTTTCCATTTGCCTTCCTGGGTAAGTATGCAAACTCTTCCTACAGGGAAGCCGGATGGCTATTAGCGGTGGCCCAAGGGTCCTTACTGTTCACGCAAGAAGATGGCTCACTGGGGTTGCAGCACCCCAGAAATCTTGTCTTACTGAGTTTCCCACAGTAGAAGTCAGTTTATGAGTCTTCGTTTGTAGAATTCAGTTGCTGTTATTTATTATTTTAAGGTAGTCTAGATGTTTACTTCGCATTTATCTGCAAGTATCATTTGAAAACTTAAACTTTCAGATAGTCATTTTAATTGATAATGAAATTTTAGGGAGTTCAAGGCCTAGGAAATTTAATACCAGATAATATTGTAGAAAGATTGTAGCCTGAGTGGAGAGAATTATTAAAAACCCAAGGAAGCATTGTGTAGAATGCCTCTCTAATTATAGTGACTGACATTTGCCTACTCTTTCCTAGGTGCTCTGTCTTGGGTAACTTGTGCTGTTTGTGACAGTTATTTTTGCGGTGGGGAAGGGTGGACTGGACAGTATAGTAAATCTAGTATTTAGTGTACCAGCCTGATATCAAAGGCAAATCACTGTTTCCAAATTAATCATAATTTCCTTCAAAATGTACACATTTAGAGAACTTGGATATATTCTAACAGCATGTATATGCAATGAACAGCAGCTCTGAAATCCCTTAAGTGCCTGTTTTCACATGCAGGCCCCCCAAATGGAAAAATTGGTGAAATAACATGTGGGACTACAAGTGCCTGTAAAGTTAGTTTTTGAGAAGTAACGGTCTAGGGCGAGAGTTTATAGAACTTTTGAAAGCAGCAAGCTGAGCCCAAATTGCAGAAAACTAGCTTACAACATACCCCTCCATTGTAAGGAACACCTCAGATATTCCAGGTTGCTGATAAGTTAAATGTGTGTATCGGTTGCGGTACTCGATAATACTACCTTAGTGAAGATGGAGTTTGTATTTTGTGAATGGAAATAGACTTGAACTCAGTTTTCAATTAAAAAAAAAAAAAAAGTAAAGAGATCTGTTTTGTTGCCCGACTTGCTAATAAGATACTATACGTGTTACTAAAAGTTTGTCTTAAAAATGAGAGAAATTGAGGACCAGGCCTTTCTGGTAGTTTCCATATAGTAGCAGAACATACTCTGATGTTGCAGAGAACCTTAGATGATTATAAGTTCCTTGTCCAACATCTTTCATGGAATGTAAATATCACATTATTTCAGATAGTTAAGAGAACCTCTTAATACGTCACATACCTAACAGTCCGATTGGAATGGTCAGAATGAGATGGTTCTGTAAGATGGATTTAGTGCACACCAAAGTATGTGGATTTCAGTGTCTTTGAAAAAATTAAAAAAAAAATTTTTAAAGCTTGTTTGCGAGAGAAGTTTTTCATTTTTGAACATATGGCAAGAGTATTCAAAGTGCATTCCTGATTTACTAAAGAACACCACATTTATACATGTGAGGCGCATTATTTTGTTCACTAGAGCAAACTTTTAATGTTAGTTCTTTCCCCGTGGAAGTATATTTGACCAATTCAAAATTTAAAATGGGAATCCGTAATTTCCAGAATAAAAGCGATCTGATGAGCTCTTGCATTTCTTTGAGGTATCAAACAACTGCTTCATTAAAACAATATTTTCAAGAACAGTCTCGGTCTTTGAAGTGAGAGTAGTTTTTGTAGTGTAAAACTTGTAGTAGTGATCTAAGAGAAGTCACCCTGACAATGAATTACCAGTTATTTGCATCTAAAATATATTTATTTGATTTGAAGCTTAATTATCAAAATAAGAATTTAGATAGAGGTTTTGCTTCTATATTGCCAAGAGTTTCCAAACTTCCCATTTTATTATTCTGCATATCTCTATTAAGTTCTGAAACTGAAGTCCTAATTTGCATTTCACATTGATGCTAGCTGTTAAAAAGAGGAGGTTCATGTATGTTGTTTCTTAGTGCTACATCTTTTGGAGGTACTGTAGCAGGTTTAGAAAGAATCTTCCGCTAGAGACTTAGATATTAACAAAATGTGCAATTTTGACACTTTTTTTTTTTTTTAATTCCTCTTGATCTCCATATCTAAATTAAAGTTCTGGGTTTAGGAGTTCGTGAGATAGCTCTTCTCTACAACTTGGAAAGTATATGTCACCTTTGACCTTATAGATCTGATCTTTATACTTAATCCATTGAAAAAGAGGAGATTTGTTTAGACATTGAATTAAGAACACAGCTTTGAGTGAAAGCTAGGATGAACACGTAATTATGGTTTGCTTAAGCTGTAAGTAGCTATGTAATTGATAAGGCATTTTGGATGTAGATAAAGAAGGAACAGCCTCAAAATAATGCGGCACAATTCACGAACATCTTCCTCTGCAGCTAAAGTATAAAGTATTTTTCAGTAAAATGACAGACAAAATTTCCAATTAATAATCAATCATAAGCCAAAATATTAAAGGTTCACATTTTCCTACGTTTCTCATAGCACAGGTAAAGCAAGGGCCATATTTTTAACTGTATCTTAGCACGAGTATCAACTACTTTTATATTAGAAATCTTTAATAGAAGTAAAAAGACTTCACCGTTCAACCCTGCTAAAAAAACCTTTTGAAAATAGCCTCATGATAGACATGGCTGTTTCAAGGAAAATCCTTGAAATTATTAGTGTCATAAAAAAGTGCAGAAAGAAGTGTTTAAAATTGTGATATTTAAATGTTCTAAGTTACTAAATTTAGGTAATTAATTGTGGCATATTGCATCACCAGTGTGGTACACCTGTATTTTTAAGAGTTAATCTTAGGCAGTGCTTAACTTAAGAAAGAGACACTTTTCTTGAACTTGCAGTTTGAAGTCCATCTGGTTTTTTAACATTTCACTACTGAGGGCACCTTTTAAAATAGGTCTGAGTGATATCTTTTTTATATTTTTAGTCAACTTCCTTCCTCTCACTATGAAATGAAAACAAACCCAAATCATAAAAACATTGTAATTTTACTGTTTGGTTTTTATCGCATGCCCCAGGTAAATTGGATACAGGTGGTCCTCAGGCTATACTTTGAGAAACACTACTCTGAGAGTAGTAAGGACTAAGGCTAAAGATTGAAGGAGGGTCTTCTAGCTAGAAGATTCTGTGACTGTAATTCAATCAGTGGGTTTGTACTACCTCAAGGGCAGTCATCACATACTGTGTCGAATTGTAGAGATTTCTATATATGAAGTTATACCTGAGGAAAGCACTTTTTGAGTACAGCTGCTCTCAACATTCATATATGTTCATATTATCCCTTAGCAGGCAATTACAGTTTCTTGAAATGCCGACATCATTTTAAAACTGTAAAGACACATGCAGAAAATCCCCGTGTATTAATAGGGATTGTTTTCATTTTTTTTTTCTTTCAAAGAAAAAGATGAGATGAAAACTGGAGTAAGGACAGGTTACACAATGGAAATGCAAAAGCAGGCAAGCCAATAACGAATTCTATCTAAAAGTATATATAAATACAGAGAAGATGAAAGATTAAGGGAATGAAAGTCTTAAAGGGATGAATATAGACCATGAAGCATTGGCACATCTACCAAAATATAAACTTTTAATAAGTTAAGATATGTGAGTTCAATGATCTGGATAGTGAAATAACTACAGCTCGTGAGGAGGTTGTATAAAGTACAAAGTAAAAATGAGAATGAGTTGAATTTTTTGAAGTCTTAGAAAAATAAATACTGTAAAATATTGATTGAGTAATTAAACTAACTGTTAAACATGGCCCTCACGTGAAGAGATCAGGGGATAAAACGGAAGTTCCTAGAATGGAATAACTAGGATCCTAAAATGGACGTTGAATGTTTTTTGTTTTTTTTTTTTTGTAAAGGGAGTAATTACATAAAACATCGATAACTTATTCCAAAGGAGAAATACAAATGAGGATAAAAATTGTGTGAGGGAGCCATATTAAATGTTTTTGGCTGAGATGTATGGTAAGAAATACCTTTTCTATCCCAATTCATATATAAAAACTGAAACAAAAGTTTTGCTGAAATAGTACTAGAGTAGTGCCCTCTGGTATTTTCTGTTCCTGTCTGATTTTTATAAATCTAATGTGTTTCAAACTTTTATTAAAAAAACACAGTGTTATTCTCTAAATTGATCTTATGATTTAGAGTTTGAAAAAACACCAACCTGGAGGACTTGTTAAAAATGGACGCCCCCACCCACCCCCCAGGGATCCCTAGGTGGCTCAGTCAGTGCAGCATGCTACTCTTGATCTCAGGGTTGTAGATTTGAGGTCCATGTTGGGTGTAGCGATTACTGAAAAATAAAATCTTAAAAAAAAAAAAATGGAGGTCCTCAGGTCCCAAATCCAGATAAGCTGATTTAGTGAGACTGAAGTGGGGCCCAGGAATCTGTGTTTTAGCTAGGGCTTTAGTATTTCTGAAGTGACTCTGACATACTTTAAGAAACTCTGGTGTAGGGGACAGATGGCTAAAGAGTGAGTAGGAGTCATGCACTGAATGTGGGGTTCAGGTTCTTTGACGAGGTCTCTTCCAGCTTCAGCAATCTGTGGCTGTGTTTCAGTCAGCGTGTTGGCAGTACCTCAGTGTGACAAGAGCCCTTGTCACCCTCTGCCCTGAGAGTAGCAGGTGTAGTAGAAGGAACAGAGGCTTTGAAGCCAAAGATTCCTGGATTCCACTACTGTTGCCCTTCTTGCTTACTGACCGAGGGACTTTAAGCATGTCACTACAAAATAAACTTCCATCATTATGTGCAAAAATATTTACAATGCAACAGAATGAGAATCACACAAGACAGTGATGTGCGTAATGATCCTTATCCACAGTCAGCACTCCATATATATGTTCTAATAGTTCTGTCTCCCCTCATCACAAGTCCTACTAAATTTGAAGTTTCTCAAAGCTGTGCCTTTTAATTTTTTAAACATCTTTTAAAATATTGTATTTATTTTTATTTTTAAAGATTTTATTTATTCATGAGAGACACAGAGTGAGAGGCAGAGAC